CATCATCCTAGGCCTCTTGGTTATTCAGAAGAAGTTGATTAAAGATTTTTACATATTTGACCCCTGTGACCTTGAAAATTGATGAAGGTCATTTATTTGAACAAACTTGGTAGCCCTTCATCCCAGCATGTTACTGGTCAAATACCATCATCCTAGGCCTCTTGGTTATTCAGAAGAAGTTGATTAAAGATTTTTACATATTTGACCCCTGTGACCTTGAAAATTGATGAAGGTCATTTATTTGAACAAACTTGGTAGCCCTTCATCAAAGCATGCTTCTGGCCAAATATCATCACCCTAGGCCTTTTGGTTACTGAGAAGAAGTTGTTTAAAGTAAAATGTTGACGCCGGACGGACGACGGACGACGGACGGAAGACGGACGCCACACCATGACATAAGCTCACTTGGCCCCTTCGGGCCAGGTGAGCTAAAAACTACTCGGAAAGTCTTAAGTGTTTTTTCTGCAGGCCCGAGCTGTTTCGGAGGGCTTGTAACATCCTACAAAATCTAATTTCATTTTCTGAGATTAATTGAATTGTAATGTTTATATTAAAAGTCACAGCGACGAGCTAACAATACTAAATTGTACTCACAGTTTGTCAGGACCTGTACAAATCCAGGGGAGGTCTCATATGTTCCATGTTCCAAATTTGTTCAAATATTTTTTTCAATATTTTAAAAAGTATCTTCTTAATTACTTAATCCAATCCTATTATGAAATCCATTTTTCAGCAGTCCCCTTTACAGCTACAGTATAAACACTACAGAATGGTGTAGAACAACCACACAACAAAAACAATCTGTTTTATCATCTTTTTATTTTACAATATCTCAAATGCACAGTTTCACACATACATACACACATCTACACCCATATATCAACACACCCAATCACACACACACTCATTAACCTTCACACACACACACACACACACTCATCAACCTCTGATACTTCTACATATCACACACTAACTTCTACACTCCGACTCAGCCTCCACCCCTCTTAACACAGAAACGTCTCTCACTACTGCTGCACAATCCCAGCTCATTGGCCCATGTATACAAAAGACTGAAAGCCACTGAGCAGGACTTTAAACGAGGTCACATGAATGATGATGTATGTGTAACATATAAAAATGTTACGCGAATGGTCGTAAGACATATTTGAAACCAGTTGATTAAATATAGGTTGGATTAAGGACAATGATACACTTATTCACTCCTATATAGACTAGTGCTTACATACATGGGTCCAATGATTTTTGCCTAAGTTTCATTTTATCCCTTTGATTTCCAATCTTTAATAAAGATTGTCACATGATAGTTAGGATTTAGCATTCAAAATGCCTCCCCTCACTCCGAGTTTTAAATTCTGTACTGAAATAAGTCTACAACAGGATCGGGGAACTTCAAATCTTTGCTAATTTATTTTGTTATATCCTAGAGCAATATATACAACTATCATCCTTGTCGTGAGAAAATATGATTCTTTGTTTCCTTGAGACTGATCCTGTTTCATGAGAAGATTAGGGGTGACACCTTTTACTCATTATTTTGGACAGTTGCCCAATGAAGGCAATACCACCTGGGAAACCTGAGCATGTGTAGGGTGGAAAAACAATTTATATCCCGATCATAATATCAATATACTCCAATCCTATATGCTGTTATAAAGATTAGGTATATACAGCAAAATGAGATATTTTCACCACCCGTTTAATATAGGCTTCCCGGTTTTATATTTGCCCTTAATAAAGATGTCCAACAGAGCAATAATTATTTATATAACTTTAAAAATACCTAGACATTGTGTAAATTCGTTTAGAAATAACGTTGTGCAGGGCAAAAATATCATGCCTGAAATGGCAGAATGCAGGGTGAAAATATCATGTTTCAAGTACTTTTTGTATTTTAGTCAGCAAAATAGTCTTTATATAATGCCTGACCTCACTTACTGTAAAAGCAATGTCACGCCTTGCCACATCTTCTCACTGATACTACAGCCATTGCTAGGACAGATTTATGGATATTTACGAAATAGGGTCAACAAAACATGATCATCCCTGTGGAATTGAAAATAGGAGGAGATCTTTTCCCTCCTATCGGTTGTATGTCCCTGTTGAAAAAACTGTTATTTCCACATGTAGTTTTTTTTTTTAGTCTTTGCTAAGAAAATTCATTTCATTTTCTTTTCTTATTAGATGGTCTGTCAAAGACTTGTTTCATGCCGCCGCCTTTCCCGGCCTGGAATTTGAGATTCTGTGCTGTGTCGGTCATCCATGGGGAGTCAAACTGAGTCGTGTCCTGGTCAACAAGATGGGTGTACTTAGTTCTGCCTGACCGTCCAAAATTCTTCACCTGAAATGGCCACAAACAAACATTTTTGATTTGTATTTGACAGAACACTGTACAATAATAGATTACTGAAGTGTGAGAAGTCTGATGGTTTGATGACATCCTTTTCAAATTCCTTGAATAATATATAACAAGTTTTGATAAACAATTATAATCAGTATTTAAGGAATAATTCAGTGAGGTAAGCTTTTGTTTATCTTGTCACAAACTTTTTCATGACAGTATAATTTCATACTTTATATATGAATAATTTAGGTCAAGAAATTGACAGGAGTCCATGTTTTTTGGCACTCTCAATTAATTATGAAGAAATCGCTATATGTTATATTGGCTGGTGGCAGTGAAATTCTAACATCTCAATCATTGTTATAAATGAGTAATTTATTTTAGGTTTAAACCTACTGATATCTTGTTTTGTGCAATTTCAAATTCTCCCTACACTACCCCTTGTTTACATCTCTCATTAAACCTGTTTCCTTTTATTCAAGTCCAATGTAGAACAAAAATATCTCATTAGATGTGTATATTATGATACATATAAATCTTGCATGTGATTTATTGCATACATCTGAAATCAAATCCATGGGTTTTGATATTTTGGTTGTAGCTGTATTATCACAGACTTTCCCAGGAGATCAAACTGACCACACTGGACACTGGCTTCAGGCCATATCATTATCAAATGCACAATTTTTCGTAAGGAGATATTTTCTGTATTTGATTGATTTGAAGGGTGTTAGTTGACTAGATAATCTGAAGAGCTATAGTTGTACAAAGTAAGTATTTCACAAAATATTAGACTTTTCATCTGTGATATTTTAACAGATTTTTGCATCAAATCGCCAGAAGAATTCATCATCATGAAATCAAATACGTTACACTTAACAACGTGGAACATCTATGATCCATTATAACAGTTGTTCCTTTCTTAAAATTCAATCTGTCATGAATACTTACTATGAAACTCAGTAGAACCACTGTATAAGTTGTGGCCGGATCAATGAGATTTGACTTTACAGTACACTGAAACCTTGATATAATAACTTACGATTTATTTATCACCTTTCTTACCAGCATTGTATTTCAAGGTTCTCTTCCCATTAACACAACAATTCCCATGATAAATAATATAAATCTCTTTAATATATCTCTAAACCTCTTAACAATGCCAAGATAAAACGGTGACAGAATAATGAGATTTTACAGCATTTAAATGCCGAGTGACAGACCTGCATGACTTTGGGGAGAATGGTTTTGTCGAAGTGGTCCTCCAGTGTCGGCGCCGAGAAATCTCTCTTATACACATCATCGTCCTGACTCTGAAACAAACAAAAATAGCAATGTGTGGTGAACTAGATTGACTTGGACATTTTTATCAATCAGACTTTCAGTTGGGTCCACTCTATATTATCTGGACATACTATGGAAACAGTTCATCAAAAAAAAACTTGTATGGTAGTATGGTAGTTAGGCTTACCAAGAAGAAGGCCCCTCTGTGGTAGTATGGTAGTTAGACTTATCAAGAAGAAGGCCCCTCTGTGTTAGTATGGTAGTGAGACTTACCAAGAAGAAGGCTCTTCTGTGTTAGTATGGTAGTTAGACTTACAAAGAAGAAGGCCCCTCTGTGGTAATATGGTATTTAGACTTACCAAGAAGAAGGTCCCTCGGTGGTAGTATGGTAGTTAGACATAACAAGAAGAAGGCTCCTCTGTGGGAGTATTTCTGGAGGTACTTGTTTTTCCCCTTAGGAGCTTTGTTTGTGACAATCTTGCCGTTTTGTTTGATCTCGTTGCGACGTTCTTCACCAGTCATGTTCCGCAGTCGCTCAACTTCCAGTTTCTCCTTCTCTGCCCTTTAAACAGAAAAACATTTAAGCTTGACTTATGCTTCACCAAATCAAATTCTGTAATTGTAATTTCATTGTTAAAAGAGATTTTCGCATAAACAATAAGTAGTTTACACATTTTTTTTCTTCGCTAATCTAATGAAATACCTCAATATTTGAATACTGGCCCCCTGCTTGGAAGGCTGGGGTGTTAACAACTTGCCCAAACCCACACATATATGCATTAATCTGAGTTTGAAAACTCACGCTTCTCGCTCTTCTTTGTCACGCTTGTAGTATGGTAGTTAGCCTTACCAAGAAGAAGGCCCCTCGGTGGTAGTATGGTAGTTAGACTTATCAAGAAGAAGGCCCCTCTGTGGTAGTATGGTATTTAGACTTACCAAGAAGAAGGTCCCTCGGTGGTAGTATGGTAGTTAGACTTTCCAAGAAGAAGGCCCCTCTGTAGTAATATGGTAGTTAGACATACCAAGAAGAAGGCCCCTCTATGGTAGTATGGTAGTTAGACTTCCCAAGAAGAAGGCCCCTCTGTAGTAATATGGTAGTTAGACATACCAAGAAGAAGGCTCCTCTGTGGGAGTATTTCTGGAGGTACTTGTATTTCCGTATGCTAGTTAGACTTACCAAGAAAAAGGCCGCTCTGTGGCAGTATGGTAGTTAGACTTACCACGAAGAAGGCCCCTCTGTGTTAGTTTGGTAGGTAGACTTACCAAGAAGAAGGCCCCTCGGTGGTAGTATGGTAGTTAGACATACCAAGAAGAAGGCTCCTCTGTGGGAGTATTTCTGGAGGTACTTGTTTTTCCCCTTAGGAGCTTTGTTTGTTGGTAGTATGGTAGTTAGACTTCCCAAGAAGAAGGCCCCTCTGTAGTAATATGGTAGTTAGACATACCAAGAAGAAGGCCCCTCTGTAGTAATATGGTAGTTAGACATACCAAGAAGAAGGCTCCTCTGCGGTAGTATGGTAGTTAGACATAACAAGAAGAAGGCTCCTCTGTGGTAGGATGGGAGTTAGACTTACCAAGAAGAAGTCCCCTCTGTGGTAGTATGGTATTTAGACTTACCAAGAAGAAGGACCCTCTGTGGTAGTATGGTAGGTAGACTTACCAAGAAGAAGGCACCTCTGTGGTAGTATGGTAGTGAGACTTACCAAGAAGAAGGCCCCTCTATGGTAGTATGGTAGTTAGACTTTCCAAGAAGAAGGCCCCTCTGTGTTAGTTTGGTAGGTAGACTTACCAAGAAGAAGGCCCCTCTGTAGTAATATGGTAGTTAGACATACCAAGAAGAAGGCCCCTCTATGGTAGTATGGTAGTTAGACTTCCCAAGAAGAAGGCCCCTCTGTGGGAGTATGGTAGTTAGACTTACCACGAAGAAGGCCCCTCTGTGTTAGTTTGGTAGGTAGACTTACCAAGAAGAAGGCCGCTCTGTGGTAGTATGGTAGTTAGACATAACAAGAAGAAGGCTCCTCTGTGGTAGGATGGGAGTTAGACTTACCAAGAAGAAGTCCCCTCTGTGGTAGTATGGTATTTAGACTTACCAAGAAGAAGGCTCTTCTGTGGTAGTATGGTAGTTAGACTTCCCAAGAAGAAGGCCCCTCTGTGTTAGTTTGGTAGGTAGACTTACCAAGAAGAAGGCACCTCTGTGGTAGTATGGTAGTCAGACTTACCAAGAAGAAGGCCCCTCGGTGGTAGTATGGTAGTTAGACATACCAAGAAGAAGGCCCCTCTGTAGTAATATGGTAGTTAGACATACCAAGAAGAAGGCCCCTCTATGGTAGTATGGTAGTTAGACTTCCCAAGAAGAAGGCCCCTCTGTAGTAATATGGTAGTTAGACATACCAAGAAGAAGGCTCCTCTGCGGTAGTATGGTAGTTAGACATACCAAGAAGAAGGCTCCTCTGCGGTAGTATGGTAGTTAGACATACCAAGAAGAAGGCTCCTCTGCGGTAGTATGGTAGTTAGACATAACAAGAAGAAGGCTCCTCTGTGGGAGTATTTCTGGAGGTACTTGTATTTCCCCTTAGGAGCTTTGGTTGTGACAATCTTGCCGTTTTGTTTGATCTCGTTGCGACGTTCTTCACCAGTCATGTTCCGCAGTCGCTCAACTTCCAGCTTCTCCTTCTCTGCCCTTTAAACAGAAATACATTTAAGCTTGACTTATGCTTCACCAAATCAAATTCTGTAATTGTAATTTCATTGTTAAAAGAGATTTTCGCATAAACAATAAGTAGTTTACACATTTTTTTTCTTAGCTAATCTAATGAAAGGCCCCTCTGTGGTAGTATAGTAGTTAGACTTACCAAGAAGTAAGCCCCTCTATGGTAGTATGGTAGTTAGACTTTCCAAGAAGAAGGCCCCTCTGTGGTAGTATGGGAGTTAGACTTACCAAGAAGAAAGCCCCTCTGTGGTAGTATGCTAGTTAGACTTACCAAGAAGTAAGCCCCTCTATGGTAGTATGGTAGTTAGACTTCCCAAGAAGAAGGCCCCTCTGTGGTAGCATGGTAGTTAGACTTACCAAGAAGAAGGCTCCTCTGTGGTAGTATTTCTGGAGGTACTTGTATTTCCCCTTAGGAGCTTTGTTTGTGACAATCTTGCCGTTTTGTTTGATCTCGTTGCGACGTTCTTCCTCAGTCATGTTCCGCAGTCGCTCAACTTCCAGCTTCTCCTTCTCTGCCCTTTAAACAGAAAAACATTTAAGCTTGACTTATGCTTCCCAAAATCAAATTCTGTAATTGTAATTTCATTGTTAAAAGAGATTTTCGCATAAACAATAAGTAGTTTACACATTTTTTTTCTTAGCTAATCTAATGAAATAACTCAATATTTGAATACTGGCCCCCTGCTTGGAAGGCTGGGGTGTTAACAACTTGACCAAATCCACACATATATGCATTAATCTGAGTTTGAAAACTCACGCTTCTCGCTCTTCTTTGTCACGCTTCAGCCTCCGTAATTCTCTCACTTTCCAGGCCTCGTACTGCTCTTCATCATCGTCACCAGAGTCAAGTGCATCACAGGCGTCGACCGTGCCCTTGTCCTCCTCCATTTCACGACGATTGTCATCCGCAATCATCTTAATGGACAAACACAAATCATTGTCACTGGGGTGTCATGGCATAACAGTGTTTTAGCATGTGTCTCTGCCTAAGTGGTCCTACTGATAAGCTCCTATAAGCTACTATAAACACATTCGGAACACCTCAGCCGATTCACTTTGGTCATCTTTGATGAAAGGTACTGTAATCAGGGCAGGTGTTCCGATTGACTTTAAACATATACTTGCTTTTATTTGCTGATAGTTACAAAATGTTTACCATTATATTTTGGTCCTGGTTTCTGGAGAAAGAAATCTTTGGACAAAATTTTCCTTTTTTCAATAAAAAAACATGCATTTTATTTAACTCATGTTAAAGGGACAATTTAGTGAAGTAAGTTTTTTATATAAACTTGTCACAAAATTCTTCATGATTATATAGTTTGATACTCCTTATGAACAATACATTTCGAGAAATAGGCAAGAGACAATGTTTTCTTGGTGTTTTCAATCAGTAATGAAGAAATCCTTAACTGTACAGCCGTACGTTTTAGCTGCAGCTGTCTGTGAATTTGTAGCTAACAAAAATGTCTTTCCAGCCAAGGAGAGAATTAGGTAACTTCTCGCTTTATTTACCTAGCCTCTCTGAAATACAAGTACCTACATTTATTCTGAATCAAAATCATCTTCCAACAGCATCTCAAACATCGTTATAAATGAGTGATCTGTTTTTCATTTAAACCAATTGATAACATACTTTCTGTGATTTGAAATCTCGCTGCAGCACCTTCTCAGTGCGTGCATGCTCTAATTGAACCTGTTTGTTTTTATTCAAATCCAAATGTGAACAGAAATATGCGATTAGAGGAATATATTATGATACTTATAATTCTTACTTGCGATATACTGTGTTAATTCATGTTTGTACGTGTGAACCAACATTCAGAACTAACACTGTGTGAACAGAGTAGTGCTGTACAGGTTATCTTCTCACTGCACTTTTTTGGGCGTAGCCATTTTTATAACGGCATTCCCCAAAAATGAAACTGATCACACTGGACGTTGGCTTCAGGTCATGTCATTATCAACTACGTAGACTTTCGTTAGGAGATACATATTTTGAGTATCGGCTCTATTTTCAGGTTGTCATTTGACTAAATAGACCCTTTAAAAGTGGAATAATTATCACTGTATAGCACGAAATGCATCCGAGTAATGTCAGGAATAGGCACAATAACATTTTGAGGATTTTTTCATTTTGGTGACATGGTAAGGTGAATTCTATAATAACACACTTTATGTTTAAGTTATAATTTTTCTTTCCATGATCAAATTCCTTTCTGATGACCATTCTTTTTTAAATGGAAGTAGTGAAATTAGTTTTTATTAGATGCTGAAATGATTGTTTCGCATTAATCTTTTTTTTCCTGGAAATGTATTCAATACAATGGTGGTGTTTAAAGTTTGTAGGCATCATTATAATTTTCCTACAAATCAGGACTAATGGTCAAGTCTGTCTTGTTTCTTCACCTTGAGAGCCTGTTTACGCCGTTCTTCTACTAGACGTTTGGTTTCTGTCTCCATATCCTTCTTCTTGGCTTCCTCTTTTTCCTTCTCTAGAGTTGTGATACGGTCTTTTCTGTAAAAATAAACAAATTAATTATGTCTCTTCATGAAATGATTTTATTTATCTTTCCTTTCCATGATCTTTTTTCTGTACACCTAAACCTAATGTATTGTTAATTTTGAAATCACATCACTAAATTCTGGCAGTATATCATTACACCCTTATCTCAGGAAAGTGGTTTCAGTCTGAGATTGTGACCTATTTATAGATAAAGACTGGTTTCAGTCTGGGATTGTGACCTACTTAAAGATAAAGACTGGTCTTAGTCTGGGATTGTGACCTACTTAAAGATAAAGACTGGTTTCACTCTGGGATTGTGACCTACTTAAAGATAAAGACTGGTTTCAGTCTGGGATTGTGACCTACTTAAAGATAAAGACTGGTTTCAGTCTTGGATGGTGACCTACTTAAAGATAAAGACTGGTTTCAGTCTGGGATTGTGACCTACTTAAAGATAAAGACTGGTTTCAGTCTGGAACTGTGACCTACTTAAAGATAAAGACTGGTTTCAGTCTGGGACCTGTCTCCTCTTCTGAGTCTGTGTATTCTTCCTCCTCTGACGATTCCTCTTCACTATCTCCATCCATTTTCTCATCCTCCACATCCATCACCTCCTGCAAATCAACAAAAGCAATTATTAGCAAGTTACATTGTATTACTTTTGTCAAGCAAGGTTAAACATTGAATATTTTCAACAAGAGGCCCAAGAGGGCCTGTATCGCTCACCTGAATATTTAAGCAGTCATAGCAAAATATTCTCATTAAATATTATATTGCACTAAAAATATTTCCCTCGCAAACTTTGTTGGCTCCATCTGTTGAAACTACCAGCAAAATATTATTATAAGATTCTATGCTTTTAGATTCTTCTTCAGAAGTTGCTTGACATATTTTTCCCTGTGATCTTGTAAGTAGGTCAATGTCATTTTCCTTCTCAAATTGGTTAGCTCTATTCCAAAAAGCTACCAGCCAAATCTTATGAATCCATTCCTTTTAGTTCTCAAGAACAAATCCATTAAAATGTTGTTGACCTCTGTGACCTCTAAAGTAGGTTGAGGTCATTTTCATTTGCAAACTTTGGTGAGCTCTATCCCGGGAAGTCACCAGCCAAATATTATAATTTTATGCCTTTTAATTCTTCAGAAGAAGCTGTTTGAACTGTTTGACATATTTGAACGCTGTGACCTTGAAAGTAGGTCAAGGTCATTTTCATTCGCAAACTTTGTTTGGCTCTTTCCCAGGAAGCCACCTGCCAAATATTAAGATTTTATAACTACCAGTTCTTCAGAAGAAGTCGTTTAAAGTGTTTGACATATCTGCCTCATGTGACCTTAAAAGAAGGTCAAGGTCATTTTCATTCTCAAACTTTGTTCGGCTCTTTCCTAGGAAGCTACAAGCCAAATATAGAGATTATATACCTTTCAGTTCTTCAGAAGAAGTCGTTTGAAGTGTCTGACACATTTGACTCCTGTGACCTTGAAAGAAGGTCAAGGTCATTTTCATTCTCAAACTTTGTCGGGCTCTATCCAAGGAAGCCATCAATCAAAAATAAAGATTCTATACCTTTCAGTTCTTCAGAAGAAGTCATTTGAAGCTTTTGACATATATGACCCCTGTGACCTTGAAAGTAGGTCAAACTAGTTTTCATTCTCAAACTTTGTTGGGCTCTATCCCAGGAAGCCACCAGCCAAATATAAAGATTATATACCTTTCAGTTCTTCAGAAGAAGTCGTTTGAAGTGTTTGACACATTTGACCCCTGTGACCTTGAAAGAAGGTCAAGGTAATTTTCATTCTCAAACTTTGTTGGGCTCCATCCAAGGAAGCCATCAGCCAAATATGAAGATTCTATACCTTTTAATTCTTCAGAAGAAGTCGTTTGAAGTTTTTGACATATTTGACCCCTGTGACCTTGAAAGTAGGTCAAACTAATTTTCATTCTCAAACTTTGTTGGTCTCTATCCCAGGAAGCCACCAGCCAAATATAAAGATTCTATACCTTTCAGTTCTTCAGAAGAAGTCGTTTGAAGTGTTTGACACATTTGACCCCTGTGACCTTGAAAGTAGGTCAAGGTCATTTTCATTCTCAAACTTTGTTGGGCTCTATCCCAGGAAGCCATCAGCCAAATATGAAGATTCTATACCTTTTAGTTCTTTAGAAGAAGTCGTTTGAAGTTTTTGACATATTTGACCCCTGTGACCTTGAAAACAGGTCAAGGTCATTTTCGTTCTCAAACTTTGTAGGGCTCCTACCAACGAAGCTTTCAGCCAAATATCATGACTCCAGGCCTGTCCGTTCTTCAGAAGAAGTTGTTTAAAGGAAAAGTTGACGGACGAGGACGGACGGACGATGGACGCCGCGCCACGGCATAAGCTCACTTGGCACTTCGTGCCAGGTGAGCTAAATATGGAAAAACATATTGGTTTTGGCTTCAACCTGTTTCACTTTACACAACATGTACAAATGAACATTTAAATTTATCTCTGAAAAGGATTAATCTGTAAGAAATGAGAAGATGGATAGAAGATATAAAGCCTAAAATTTTACACATAACTTGTAGTTTTTTGGCAGGACCTGGGGAAAATTGGTGACTCCAATCCATTTTACTAAGATATGTTTAATGCATACATTAGGGAGTAATTCTTTAATGCAAAGAATTCCATGTGCTGAGACCTGTGCAGGTTCTGGGAAAGATTAGACGTGTATTCGTAAATATATAGCGTATAAAAGCACTGTTATCAATCAATGACATATATAGGGCTGACAGGATCAGATACACTGACATAGCAACAGAATGTACAAGTAATTTATTTCTTACCTCTTCCTCCTGTCTCTGTAGTGCCCTCTGTCTCAGCAGTATCCTTCGCCGTTCAATCTCCTGAAAACATTAAAATATAGAAAACATCAACATGGCTTTCTTACAGACTTGGACAAAATCTTAATCTATTGTGATATACTTACTTAAATCATACATGTTTTATTATGTAGTGATCAGTACCACGGTAAGTCACTAATTGTTTCCATGATAATTTACTTGAAATGTTGTTTGTGAAATAACTTTATCATCGTAAATCAGCACAAAGTCTGATTAGTGTTTAAATTCATGTATAATATAATGCTTCTCTTTATATCCAGCCATAAAGGAAACAAAAGAGGGAGTGCATCACTGAAGGTATGTTTTTGCTTCAATCATTTCAATAACAAAATTGTTATGTTTTGTAAAAAGTTTGACTTTTTGTATTTTGTTATGTTGAACAGAGAGGTAAATCTGAGTCTTGTCAAACAGATAGGTAAAAAATATTTAACACAGACCTCTTCATCTAATTCTTCCTCCTCCTCTTCACTGCTTTCTTCTTCTTCCTCGCCTCGCCTCCTCCTTCCCTCAGCCTCCGAATCTGACCCCTCCTGTATGAGCTCTGGTTCCTCCACTTCCCGTCGATGTCTGGCAACTCTGTAACAGCAAATTCAACATAGTACAGATTCTGACTACAATTTAATCAGTGAAAAGAAGTTTGAAAATATGTTTTTTGTGATTGTATTGGTTGTTTGAGGCATGTAATTTATGTTCATCTTGTGCATAAAGAATAGATCTTTCGATCCATGTGCGACATGTGTGTGAAAGTGACGATTTGTTTCTAAAATATCAGTTTGAAGAGCGACCCAGGTGTGGGTCGCTTATTTCCAACATATTATAGAGGGCTGGAGTCCTGACGTTAATTGACGACAGACCGATATAAAAAAAGTCGATAAAACAACAGAATAATTCGGACTAGCTCACCAGGTGAGCTAGAAAACAATACATTTTGATACTTATAGCACTCTACTTTGGCAGTTGGGAATACGTACCTGAATTTTGTTAGAGATGTGTTAAAGCATCATTGATTATTCACAAATTGGATTCAAAATAATGAACAAATATATGAGTAATAAAACTGTTTTTGGAAGATCTGTCACAAATATAGTATATCTGAAAAAGTCCTGAAAGAGTAAATACATAGTCACTGCAAAATTTCTACTGAGGTGAAATGCTGCTTGTGAAAAGACATATACAAGGGTTTTTTTCTATCAAAAAATATTTTGCAACAGAAAATATTATTCAAATAATAGACATCAATCTGAACTATGATTTCTGTTTCAAAACAGGAGAGTCAGGAGATGGCACAGAATTTCACATTTGTATAAAGTTATTTTAAATTTTTTGAATGTGTCTCAACACTTGTGTTCAGTCCCGATATATAGCCCTTTAACCCACCTGTCATCCTCATCTTTTTCAATGTCACGTCCCTGTAATCGTTGGAGACGTCGGTCATATACAGTGTCTGCTCCTTCATCTTTTTCATCTACAGTTGGTGCTTCCTTTTCTGTCTTCACAGGTACAAACTCATCTTCACTTTCTTCGCTGCTGCTGTCGGGAGCATAGTCAGGTCTGAAACACAACACAGATTTACCATAAAAAATGTTGAATTTGTGAAAAGAAAATAAGAGCGTTTTCACATGAAAATAAAGTCCCATTACTTGACAAACAGCAAGTTAAAAATGTAATAGAAACCAATAGAAAACCTCCAAAATGATGAAGTAAAATCTTGTTGCCTGGTTGTTAAGAATGTAATCAATGTTGGTCGTTAAGAAAGATATTGAAATAATACTATCCATAAATTCAGTCCTTAAATAACCTAGAAATGAGAAACAGGTCCATCACTCACCTTTTACCAGTTACATAACGACTGACTTTCACTTTCTGCATAGTAAGATCACCTACAAATAGAAAACACTGACATCATCATATTCTGACAAGAGGCTCAAGGGCCTTGAATCACTCATCCGTCTTTTTGGAAATCAAGTTGAGATGTATGCAATACTTTAGGAAGAGGGTTTCCAGGATGGCACACCACTTTATTTTATATTTCATGTGGGCTAAGCATGGTACCACTTCAATTTTATAGTTAAAACCTAGCAAGAAGTTTGGGATGAGATATCCCTGAAAGTGAACCATCCAGTTCTACCCCTTTTATCCAGCCCTCAGAGACTTGGTCCCTTAAACTGTATAGCTTTGGATCCCCATGAGCTCAGCATGCTTCCAAAATTTGATAAAAATAATAATTACTCTGTAGTTTTGGAAATGTCATTTAAAACAGATCAGCCATTTTGACCCATTTTGCCCAGCCCCCAAGTTCTCGGGAATGTCAGACTATTTATCTGTGTAACTTTTGACTCTCATGGGCTAAGCATGTTTTAACGTTTCAATTTGGTTGATATCTGTACAGTAGTTTGACAGAAGATATAACATTTGAAGAAAAAACACCCATTTGACCCATTTTACTCCACTCTTCAAACGGAAGGACTAAGATAGTAAGTTTGTCAGCTGGATTATTTGCATGACTTTTTATTCCTATGGCATAAGGATGTTACCACTACAATATGGTTGAAATCTGCCCTCTAGTTTCAGAGAGGAGATGTTTAAATCAAAACTTGATTGAAGCGCGGTAGTCTAGTGGTAGCCGGGCTCGTGACGGAAGGGTTGTGGGTTCGAGTCACAGCATGGCACTGTGTTGTATCTATGAGCAAGATACTTTATCCTGCTTGTTCCAGTCTACTCAGCTGTAAATGAGTATGTGGTTGGGCAGTGTTAGAATTGTAGAATGCTATAAACTGTAAGCGCTGAAATGGGAGTACCGGCTGTATGCTCCCCAAGGAGTTGAGAAAGGTATTAGCTGGTTGCAAAGGCCCTATAACCAAAGATAATAATTTGTGAACCGCTTTGAGACAACCTACAAACTAGGTTGTGATAAAGCGGTTCAAAGTTTTTCACAGTCATCTTGCCACATTTTTGTGTATTAATGAGGTTAACGTCAGCGTCGTGCCGAAACATTCAGTGTTGGTTGGTTTAGCGGAAAAATGGCTGCGCTTCCAGCCAATCACACCATGGGTCTCGGCACGTGGCAGATATCAAACTCATTAATATACAAAAATGTGGCACAATGACTGCGAAAAACTTTGAAACTCTGAAATGGTGTGTTTTTGGAGGAAACAGAGATCATGTCTGCGGAAGGAGAATACATTGTACGTGCATATAGGAGGTTTTTAAACGTAAAAAGTATCCATCTTTCAAACGGTACTAAGCATTTTCCTGTAAATCAACAAGAAATGTTGTTTTTGATGCAAGAATGTTAAATGGGGTCAACTTTTCGACATCTAAAGCTTTCCGCCCTTCTCGATCATTGTTTTTTTCTCCCCTGAAAGTCGATCTAAACCACCTAAAATGTGTAAAATTACTCTGAACACCTTAGTTTAGGTCCAAATATAGCTGTAACAAATTCTCAGGTCCCTGTGTTAACGATGTCGGACCATATTTTGCTAACTTGACAAGGAGATGGCCCAGAACTGATTTTCTAATGTCGCCTTTCGTAATTCTTACATAAATCAACAGACAGACAGCAACTTGTATCATAAATCACAAATAGAAAGTAATACCCTTCTCGTTTTTCATCGGGATAGCACCCGCCGTCGACTGGATCGGCGCATTTGTAGGAGCCGACATCTTGGTATTCGATCACTCTCCGATATTGGTATGCGTTCTGAAATGAAAAAGAGGAATGCTAGACACTACAGCGCAGGTCTTCAGTTCAAATGTGACGACATTTTCTATTAAACTGAATATATTGTTGATCAACAACACGTACCAAACCACCATGCAAACAGCCAAGAAATCGACGTTGATTTTTTTTATTCAAAGCGTCTTCCAGACGTTACCAAAATCGTCATTCATGCGTTAGTTTCGTACAATCTGGGGATAATGAATAATTCCGTAATAAAATAGTACTATGATAATTGTACGAATTGTTCACACATAGGTATACATTGACTTGATAATTAGATATCAATAATATACATGTGACCTGAGTGTAAATAAACAATCTTAAAATCTATGCGTGTACGATACAATATTGCTTTGCGTATTTCACAGGGACCTGAGCATTCATTATTACAGCTATATTTGGACCTAAACTATAAGGTGTTCAGAGTAGTTTTACATGTTTTAGGGGTTTAGGTCGACTTTCGGTAAAAATGACATCCTCAATGATTATATCTACGAGTATTTTTTACCGACAGTCGATGTTAACCCCTAAAACATGTAAAATTATTCTGTAACAAATTATCAGGTCCCTGTGACGTGTTGATCTGATGCCGACTTTAGATCATAATATAAAATATTCTTAATTGAAAAAAACGTTATTTGTCCGGACTAACAGACGTAAATATCTTGATTTATCACCCACGTAATTTACAGTGATTTATAAGGAGCCTTAATTGATTGTTTGTTAAATCGTAATTACAGATTATATAACGAGTGGCATTTAGATGTTATTCTGTAATTAATTAAGTGAATAAATTAACGACGAACTTTTATCAAATTAATGACTATCCAAGGTGGTATACCAATATTTTGAAGATCAATATATCTAAAAGTGCACGGAAAATTCACTGTCATGTGACAGAGGTGAGCTTCTAAATTACGTTACTCATTTTGATTTACCAAATATACCACAGCGATAATACACAGAGACAAAATACACCACAGCGTCAATACACAGAAACACAATACACCACAGCGTCAATACACAAAGACACAATATACCACAGCGTCCATAACGCAGACACAATATACCCCAGCGTCAATATACCACAGCGTCAATACACAGAGACACAGTATACCACAGCGTCAAAACACAGACACACAATATATCACAGCGTCAATACACATATACACAAGATTTCACAGCGTCAATACACGTAGACATAATATACCACAACGTCAATACACGCAGACACAATATACCACAGCGTCCATACAAAGAGACACAATATACCACAGTGTCAATACACGCAGACACAATATACCACAGCGTCAATACACAGAGACACAATATACCACAGCGTCAATACACATAAACACAATATACCACAGCGTCAATACACAGAGACACAATATACCACAGCGTCAAAACACAGACACACAATATATCACAGCGTCAATACACATAGACACAATATTTCACAGCGTCAATACACGTAGACATAATATACCACAACGTCAATACACGCAGACACAATATACCACAACGTCAATACACATAGACACAATATACCACAGCGTCAATACACAGAGCAACAATATACCACAACGTCAAAACACAGACACACAATATATCACAGCGTCAATACATGGAGACACAATACACCACAATGCAATACACATAGACACAATATACCACAGCGTCCATAACGCAGACAGACACACAATATATCACAGCGTCAATACATGGAGACCCAATACACCACAATGCAATACACATAGACACAACATACCACAGCGTCCATAACGCAGACACAACATACCACAGCGTCAATACACGCAGACACAATAGACCACAGCGTCAATACACGCAGACACAATATCCCACAGCGTCCATAACGCAGACACAATATCCCACAGCGTCAATACACGCAGACACAATAGACCACAGCGTCAATACACGCAGACACAATAGACCACAGCGTCAATACACGCAGACACAATAGACCACAGCGTCAATACACGCAGACACAATAGACCACAGCGTCAATACACGCAGACACAATAGACCACAGCGTCAATACACGCAGACACAATAGACCACAGCGTCAATACACGCAGACACAATAGACCACAGCGTCAATACACGCAGACACAATAGACCACAGCGTCAATACACGCAGACACAATATACCACAGCGTCAAAACACAGACACACAATATATCACAGCGTCAATACACATAGACACAATATTTCACAGCGTCAATACACGTAGACATAATATACCACAACGTCAATACACGCAGACACAATATACCACAACGTCAATACACATAGACACAATATACCACAGCCTCAATACACAAAGACACAATATACCACAGAGTCAATACACGCAGACACAATATACCACAGCAACGTCAATACACGCAGACACAATATACCACAACGTCAATACACAGAGACACAATATACCACGGCGTCAATACACAAAGACACAATATACCAAAGCCTCAATACACAAAGACACAATATACCACAGAGTCAATACACGCAGACACAATATACCACAACGTCAATACACAGAGACACAATATACCACGGCGTCAATACACAAAGACACAATATACCACAGCCTCAATACACAAAGACACAATATACCGCAGCGTCAATACACGGAGACACAATATACCACATCGTCAATACACGCAGACACAATATACCACATCGTCAATACACATAGACACAATATACCACAGAGTCAATACACGCAGACACAATATACCACAACGTCAATACACAGAGACACAATATACCACGGCGTCAATACACAAAGACACAATATACCAAAGCGTAAATACACAGAGACACAATATACAACAGCGTCAATACACAGAGACACAATATACCACATCGTCAATACACATAGACACAATATACCACAGAGTCAATACACAAAGACACAATATACAACAGCGTCAATACACAAAGACACAATATACCAAAGCCTCAATACACAAAGACACAATATACCACAGAGTCAATACACGCAGACACAATATACCACAGCATCCATACAAAGAGACACAATATACCACAGTGTCAATACACGCAGACACAATATACCACAGCATCCATACAAAGAGACACAATATACCACAGCGTCCATAACGCAGACACAATATACCACAGCGTCCATACAAATAGACACAATATACCACAGCGTCCATACAAAGAGACACAATATACCCCAGCGTCCATACACGCAGACACAATATCCCACAGCGTCCATAACGCAAACACAATATAGCACAGCGTCAATACACGTAGACACAATATACCACAGCATCCATACAAAGAGACACAACATACCACAGCGTCCATACAAAAAGACACAATATACCCCAGCCTCAATACACAAAGACATAATATCCCACAGCCTCAATACACAAAGACACAATAATATACCACAGCGTCAATACACACAGACACAATATACCACAGCCTAAATACAAAAAGACACAATATACCCCAGCCTCAATACACAAAGACACAAGATACCACAGCCTCAATACACGCAGACACAATACAGAGACAAAATACACCACAGCGTCAATACACATAAACACAATATACCACAGCGTCGATACACAGAGCAACAATATACCTCAGCGTCAATACACAGAGCAAAAATATACCACAGCGTCAATGCACGCAGACACAATATACCATATACCACAGCGTCAATAACGCAGACACAATACACCACAGCGTCAATACACACAGCAACAATATGCCACAACGTCAAAACACAGACACACAATATATCACAGCGTCAATACACAGAGCGACAATATACCGCAGCGTCAATACACAAAGAAACAATATACCACAACTTCAATACACAAAGACACAATAGACCACAGCGTCAATACACAAAGAAACAATATACCACAACTTCAATACACAAAGACACAAGATACCACAGCCTCAATACACAAAGACACAAGATACCACAGCCTCAATACACGCAGACACAATCTACCACAGCGTCCATACAAAAAGACACAATATACCACAGACTCAATACACAAAGACACAAGATACCACAGCCTCAATACACGCAGACACAAATATACCACAGCGTCAATGCACGCAGACACAATATACCCCAGCGTCCATAACGCAGACAGAATACAACACGGCGTCAATACACGCAGACACAGTATACCACAGCGTCCATAAAGCAGACACAATATACCACAGCTGCCATACAAATAGACACAATATACATAGACGCAATATACCACAGCGTCCATCCACGCAGACACAATATACCAAAGAGTCAATACACAGAGCAACAATATATCACAGCGTCAATACACATAGACACAATATACCACAGCGGCAATACACGCAGACACAATCTACCACAGCGTCCATACAAAAAGACACAATATACCACAGACTCAATACACAAAGACACAATATACCACAGCGTCAATACACGGAGACACAATATACCACAACTTCAAGACAGAAGAAAGCTCTCCACGAGGGCTTCATCTTCATGCTCAAGCTTACTAGCATCTTCCTATATTGGGGTTGTCATAGAGGAATCTGTAACCCGAGAGATGATGTTTTATTGGTTATCCAACCCGAGGCTCTGCCGATGGTACGACAGCCAAATAATCACTCCGAAGGGTTGGGGATTTCGAGATTGGTATGTTACAACTAAGGAATGGAATTTCATATGTTACCACTGAGAAGGAAGACTGGTTTTGTTACATGTATTACTGAGGAGGTGACACTCTATACCGGAAGATATTTCCGCTGGGGTGATGTTTTCGCAATATCGCGGGTAAATAACGTGATCGCGAAAAATATGATCCGCAGAATAACATGACAAGCGTAAACATAAGCCGCGATAATAAACTTCATAACCGTGATGCCGTTATGAAATAGCGCTCATGTGGTTGTGACGATTCATATACATATAGAGTTATAATGTTTGAAAATAGGTTATATCACAAATCTTATAGTTTTGTTGATGCTTTGCTGAACAAAATACAATTGACTATTTCACATTTTATATTCGACACTTGAAGCTTAAAATTTAGTTCCTTTACATCTCGAGATTGCGAAAATATAATCCGTGTAAATAAAGTTCGTAATTTTGGGTCAAAATCGCGAAAATTTAAGCCGTAAATAACACGTTATACAGTATTTCTGAGGAGAGAAGGCTGGTATGTTACTACTGTTTGGTGCTACTGATATGAAGCTTCAGAAGAGGATGAGTTTGTTGAGAATAACAGTAGTTCTCATAATACTTTGTTGTAATTTAAGGACAATACATCACTATTAAATCTGAATGTTAAATAAAAAGACCAAACAATCATTACCTCCTTCTTAAAAACCCATTTGATTCGTCTTCTTGTTCATTATGCGAATACATCATCTCCAAAAAGCCGTTTGGAACATTCTCGCGAGAATAAACAGACACGACAAGGAAGTGTTTAACAGTATTTACCAAAATCACATGACGTAATTCGGACAGGTAACACAGTTAAAATTAAATACACATTACGAACAAGTGACCTATCATGTTTCAAGGAAAACATGGAACGCGCGTTGGCATATTATAGCCTTTTAAGTACAAATAAAAGTTTCACGTATTATTAGTTACAAAATTGCCTTAAACTGACTCATTCTCCAGAGAAAGGTGGTATAGAGTCGTGAGAAACACTTCAAGCTTGAGGAACTTCCGTGTCGGCTCACTGCTGAATTTGTAAAGGAGGAAAAAAGGTTAAATCGCCTTATAGATTTTGTGTGGGATAAAAGTGAGTAAGGATTTCACATCTTTAAATATTTGTTATAAATACTTTCGATACTTGATGTTTCACTTCTATCGACAAAGCGATGATAAAGCGGTATTATTTTAGGATTCGACATGCGTTTTGAATAAGTCAGTCTAATGAATCTCTCTACCCTGTAAAGGTGCTAATTAATTCGGGCGTTTCTTGATCTTGTAAAACTTACAAAACTTAAAAACGTGACTTGTGCGACTTTGGAACAGACATACATACGGAACACTTAAGCACTCCGAAGAACCTGGATGTGTTTGTTATACAAGTCTGATCAAAACCTTCTACTGACTAGGATAATAACAATAACCAATTCTAAACCACTCAACGCATTGAAAAACCCATCAACTCACGGTAAACCATTCAATTCACTGTAAAACTCATCAACTCACGGTAAAACCATTCAATTCACTGTAAAACCCATCAACTCACGGTAAACCATTCAATTCACTGAAAAACTCATCAACTCACAGTAAACCATTCAATTCACTGTAAAACTCATCAACTCACGGTAAACCATTCAATTCACTGAAAAACCCAACAACTCACGGTAAACCATTCAATTCACTGTCAAACCCCTCAACTCACCGAAAACCACTAAAATTGCTATATGAGTAACATTTTTATATGCATCTATTGTGTAAATTTAGCATACACGTTTTGTTCAAATTATATATACCACTTGTTTAAATGTCTGACTAAATGTAAGAATGATGTTTGAAGTGTGTGCTATCTGCCGTTTATGTGTTTAACGTATGTTTGCGTCCATGCGATAGCGCGTATCTGATGACGACTTAAGAGTGCTACCTCACTGAAATACCATGCCGAAGGCACCCAACACAGCATTCCAAATGGTCACATTATAATGAAAAACGGGATAACCAGTTGGTGAAATTACCAATAATGCTGAACGTTAAGCAGGGAATAACAACTATCATTTTAAAGTTCTCTGGTATATCCCGTCCTAGGACAGAATCCGTTGCCTTCTTCACTTGGACAAACGTTCAACACTAAGGCCAAACTCGAGGCACTGCCAAGGAAGGCACTAGGGAACAAAAGAAGTAGTTTGAAATTACATAGGGAATATAAGGATCCCAAGTGTTGCAATGGGGCAGTAGGTATATGGTTTCTTCAGTGTCCCGCATAAAAGAACACAAAAGAAAACAATCAACTCTGCAGGGGGCCCATATTAGTCGCCTTTTACGACATGAAGACCTATTTTATCTCCGAACCTACAGAGATCATTTACAGTGTGTAGTTGTTGTCTAGATAGATATACACAAATTTGATTGTTATTATTTATTTATGGTATTCTGTTGTTTGTAAATATTTTTTACAGTAGGTAATTTGTAAATATCCACAGCTTTAGATTTTTCCTTGACTCCATCAAGTCTTCTAAGGGATAACATCCTTTTACTATGTTAAGTTTGTGAAATCGGGACCAAGACTCCGTGACTCATGATAGAACTGTCTATGACTGTTTGTGCACACAGAACTATATAAGATTTTAGGTAGTATTCCAATAATCTGGGTTCTGGAGGTTCCTGAATTTCCAGAAGATACAACACTGTCGGGTTATTTGTTTAATGAAGAATGAATTCATTAACATCGCTTTTTTTAAGCTGTGTGGTTATATGTTTTTCTCTTTAAGTTGGAGTTTCAAATCAGTCTGTTGTATGAATGTTAGGTATGGGTTGGCAGGGAGAGCCACTAAAAGTGATTCGTTGGTATCTCCTTCCAGCAGAGGCCTCTCAATGGGACCTAACATAGACATGACTCTAGCTGCAATATGGAGTTTACAACAGGACGCGCTCCTCGGCGTTGTATGGATTCGTTGACGAGATCAATCTCTCTTTGAGGGTTTGGATCTAAATAATTATATGGCATTATAAAACTGAGCGGTTTGGGGAAATGAAAGCAGTTTCAGATTTTTCGCGAATATTTATGAAATTTCAGCGTTTATTTTGATTTCCTAGATATTTTTAAAATCTATAAAGAGAATTTGAAATTCTTGCTGCTATTTACACCAAGGTTCATATTTTCGCTGACTTGTTCCAAAATGTTTGCTCTGATCAAGATCAATGATAATGGCATTTTGATCGAGTTGTACATGCTACACGTGTACATGTTACACAATCCAAGTAGAAGTGAGAGATGTTTGTTATACACAACATATATATTAACATGAAGTTTTCTGTAATCGTAACTGTCTATGTCATCGCCACACTCCCATACCATAATACGGGTACGTATCGTCACGTTGCGCAAGATAGACCAGTCTACTGGATTGTATGTATGATAGGTCATTCAGTAGGTATCATTATGGGCGAGCTACCGTATAAGATTTGTGAGGAAGATGATGCAGGTAAGTGATATTTTTTGTAAATAACTTGTTTTAGATCGATAAACTGATATTAATATTAAGGAATGATTGATCATTAATCTGGATAAATGGCTCCGAATAAATGTGGATTTATATCTACGTACTAACAAACGTCAGATATTGGGGTTACTCAACCTTGAAGTCAAATATCTCTGAGAGGTCAAAACTAAACACGGTATGATAATAGACTACAGGTACATCACCGTGTCAAAAAATAATGTGACGACGGACTAACCAGTGACACATCGGGATGTGAAGTTTTTAAAATTCTGAACAAACTTATAAAACTTAAGTCTTTGAATTATAATATAATACAGGAGAATGCAGCAGAGGTGCCTAGGGTTAGAACAGTTAAGCATGGACAGAAATCTTTCACATTTGAGGCTGCTAAGGTGTGGAACACTCTCCCAAATGAGTTCCGGGAATCAGGAGAATGATCCACACCTGGAGTGAACCCACCTGTAGCTGTTCAATCTGTCGCACCTCTTGTATTTTGTATCTTGAGACACCACCGAGTAGATAAATGAGAAAATCAACGACAGCGTTGGTGTTATGGTTACTGCAGATCTATATTGCCCTCTTTTTGTGTTATATATCTGTGTGTTATGGTTCCCACATATCCAAGTTGTTCTCCTTGGCGATATATCTGTCTGGACACCAACGATCTATTTTGTGTTCCGTAGTTTTACATCTGTCTGTCGTTATGGTGACCACATATCTATTTTATATTCTGTAGTTTTACATCTGTCTGTTGTTATGGTGACCACATATCTATTTTGTATTCTGTAGTTTTACATCTGTCTGTTGTTATGGTGACCAAAGATCTATTTTGTATTCTGTAGTTTTACATCTGTCTGTTGTTATGGTGACCACATATCTATTTTGTATTCCGTAGTTTTACAT